CCTCCTTTCACATTCTCCCAAACGCTGGATGGAGTTTGATATGGGTTTCAATGAATGTAAAGTGGACCATATTTTAGTCTTTCAATATGCACAAAGCCCACACCAAGGGGCCTTGCTTTAACAAAGGAAAAATAAGCGAATACTTCTGGGCTAAAAGCTGCAATAGCAAAGTTAAATATTGGCACCTGATTTGTCCTAATAACTGCTATGATTTCGAGATCATTATGAGTATAAACTGGAAGGGAAACAGCAAGAAACGGGCGATCCTGTCTCAATGCCAGCCTTCCCAATCGTTATTGACTGAACAGGCAGAACTATTCGATATATACGCTAAGAGCAGAACATGTTTTTTCCTTCTTTTTTATGTCTCTTCCTTGATCAGTTTTGACCCCTTATCAATATTTTGTGCGTCCATTAGATGATCTTAGGTCCCGATCCCAGGATTTGATTTCTACAGGAGTTGGTTGTGGAGCCTTCCACTCTGCATTCTATGTAAATCCTACTGCCTGAAGAATGAATGTAAGAACCAACATTACCATTATCCATACAAACTAAGGGCAGTTTTAACATAAACAGTCAGTGTGTAATTGACAGATTTGCGGTTTCAGTGTAATGGCACTGCCTTTTTTAATTGAATGACCTAGAACTGGTCTCTGCTTGCTCACCTTGGGACTTTTGGGCGGCGCCGGTTAAAAGATTCTCTGTAAGTGTGTGCGTGTCGTGTGTTGCTGTCATGCTGTGTGTGTGTGTGCGTTGGCTGCAGGTGCAATTATAGTGACGAGGGGGAGGCAGCACCCAGAGCATGGACCCAGGATTGCTGTGCGGTCCAGTCCATTGATATAAAAGGTATGTCTTAGAATTTCGCTTTGGCTCGAAACCAGCGGTGAACAAGTGGAGAGGGAAGAGTTTATACAAGGTGGTGTGGTTGACTTCTTTAGTATTCCCCTGATAGCCCCTCCTCTCCCATCCCTCTCCCCTCTTCTCTCTCTCTCTCTTCATCTCTCTCCACCCCCTCTGTTCTCTGTCAGATGTCTCTGCCTGGCTGTCTGGCTGCTGGAGTGGGGACAATGTTGTTGTACTCTACGGCCCGTCAGTAACCAACTCAGCCTTGCCCTCCGCCTGACGCGAGCATTTGCATAACCTCGTTGCCTGCCTAAGAACAGTCAGACACGGAGATTACTAACCCCCACTTGCTGCCGCTGTCCAACAACTCTGCTGCCCCCCTTACCTTTTTTTTTTTTATTTTGTTTCTTTTCTTTTTGGTTTTTTTTTTTTTTTTTTGTTCTCTTTTTTTCCCCTCAATCCCAGCTCAGTCTCCCATGGAGCGAGGTACAATTTAAAGAAGTCATTCATCTCACTCCCCTCACCTTTCTGCTCTCCGCCTATTCTTCTCTCGTCCTATATCTCTATTTCTGCCCCTGCCCTGCCCCCTCTGCTCCCCCCCTCCCCCCCCCTCACTTCCCCCCACACACACACTACACACACTATACTTACCACCAATACCCATTCGTTATTTTGTCATTCCACTCAGGTTTGTTTCTATATAAGGCATAGCGATTTCACTTTAGTTTCTCACCTCTGGACGTTCCGGGCAAATTTTCTATAGCTTATACCACTACCTTTGCCTGAGACCAGGTTGGAACAAAAATGCTTTATTTGACCATTGTAATGGATGCTGAATACAGACGAGCCTGTGTACAATAGTTGCAGGTTCTTTATATTTAGATCACTGAAGGATAGGATGCGCCATTCATCTTGCTTAGCCCTCAGTTTTCCATTACTGGAAGAATCCAAGCGTTATGTACACTAATTAAGCCGGCCCAAATTTAACAGATGCTAATTATGAACAGAAAAGAGGGTGTAAGTTGAGAAAACGTTATTTCCTCTTGGAGGATGGCTGGGTTGGGGGGGACGGCCGAATGAGCCTGGGATTCACCACCCCTAGGGCTCACACTGACACACACAACACACCTCGTTTTCCTTCCCTCATTCCAGCACAGGACACTGGCTGTCAGGGGTTGCTTGTGCTTCCTGAACGCATCAATGATGTCTCTCTGGTTTTCTTGGTGTTACGAGCGAGGGTTATTCTCCTCTGTAACCCGGCTGCACCTCTCAGATTAACTTGAGAAGGTTGTTCTTGTGGGGCCAAACTGCAGTCCGCTGGGTGTTATGGGCCAGTACAGGAGGGCTTCAGCACCGCCTGTGGGAGGCCGAATGTCTCATAGAGTGCGGGTGGACTTACCTGGTGTTTCTTTTTTCCCAAGTCTCCACTTGTTTCTTGGGTCAGTTGGTTATAGAAAAGTCCTGTTATCGCACGGCCATGTGGAGTGAGGGGATGGTCCTAAGAGTGTCCAGTTCTGTTGAGGTCATGTCCCGGGTATTCACCTCACGCCTCCGTTGAAATGCCATAATTAGATTGTATTCTTCGTCTAAGGCTACTTTTTGGCTACACTGTTCGTATCCTAACTTCTCACGTCGTCTCCTGCCTTTATACCTCTTAGGCACAGCTCTTCTCTTTATTAATGCCAACCATGGATATGACAAACCGTAGATTCTGGATCGCAATGCCTTTTGTCTAACATCTTAACCAAATGGAAAGGCAAGTGGCTGCGCAATACACAGGTGTTGTTTAGGCAATGTAATGAATTTCACATTTTTGTCATAGTGTGTGTGTTCAGTCGCAGAGTGGAAGAAATGGCGTCCTCTGTGGAATCTGTCATAGAGGGGACAGCGCTACGATCATGTGAACTGGTGTCGCACAGTACTAGGTGAGATTAGTCACGGAATTGTAATGATGAAAGGATCGGCAGTTCTCTCGAAGCCTTAGTTGCCCAATTTTCCGGGAGTAATGGCACCGGACGGTAATTCTTCATGCTGGGTGATGGGAGATCTTGGGCAATACTTTACATATTTTAATATTTTATATCTTAGCATGATTTCGTTTCCTCACGTTTTGTTTGGCAATTCAATGAGATATAATACAAAATATATTTTTTGGAACTGGATTATCGTAGGCTGACATACGCTATATATCGCTACGCTTTGAGGAACAGGAGTTCCGTGTTGTTGTCGACTGGGTGTGGGTGGCACGGGTGTTCAGCGTCTGTGCTGGAAGTATGGTCTTGATGGGGAGTAGGTATGTACCGCCATTTATGTAATCCATTGTTATCGCATTAATTAGTCTAACTTTGTCTACTTAATGATATAGACAGACAACTGCCTGTCTACCGGTAATTCTTTCATTTAGTTCCAAAAGAGAGCATTCAACTATAGAAAAATGGTCTTGCGACTGCTGCAGCTCAAGTTATCGATTTAAAGGAAAGCGACAATGTCTATAGTGTCAACAAGTTTTGTTAGCTCAGGACAATGAGCACGTGACCAGTCTAATGGAACCTTGCTATATGTCAATGATGGTCAATCCATAGCTAATCTGATGTGTTTTACCCTGTTCCCATGGCTTTCAGGGTATTCTTTTTTATTTTAATTTTATCGTTGACAATCTTCAGCAGCTATCTTCAATTTAGGTTATTAAAGAACTAGGGGGGGGCAAAGGTCCTCGAATACTTTCGCGGATCCACAGCGCCAATTACACTGTGCAAAATGATAAAGAAGCTGGAACTATTGTTTCTTGCTGTAGAGCGCAGAGATGAGATAGGAAGAGTATAATTGTTGTGATTGAATTGTGAATACTATAATGAAATTGAGTAACCAAAACGCACAATAGCTGATCAATCTTGTGTATATAAGATAATAAAAATGTCTTTGAGCAGGGGCAGGGGCAGGGGCAGAAATAGAGAGATATAGAGAAAAAAGAATAGGGGAGACAGAAGGGTGAGGGAGTAGAGATGGAGACTCTTTAAATGTGTTCCTCCCTCCATGGGAGACTGAGCTGGGACTTGGTGGGGTAAGGGGGGCAGAGAGTGTTGGCACGGCAGCAAGTGGGGGGTAAGTCTCCGTGTCTCTGTTCTTAGGCACAGCGAGGTTATGCAAATGCTCCGTCAGGCGGAGGGCAAGGCTGAGTAGGTTACTGACGGGCCGTAGAGTACACAACATGTCCCCCACTCAGCCAGCCAGACAGCCAGCAGAGACACTGACAGAGAACAGAGGGGGTGAGAGAGAGAGAGAGAGAGAGAGAGAATG